AAGAGGAGAAACAGCGAAAGGATTGGAAGGTGTTATCACAAATTTATCTTTACCTTTTGAATAATATTCTTCAGGATATTTTGAAAGAAAAGTCCACTGCCGCGTTATGGTTGAGATAGACACAATTATATATGATGAAAAGTCTAACTAGCAAATTGCACTTGAAACAACACGTTTATTCTCATCGTATGACAGAAAGTACATCTCTTGAAGATCACATATTTGTTTTTAAGGAAATCGTCGCTAATTTGAAAATCTTAGATGTTAAATATGATGAAGACTTGGGTTTGATTTTGTTGTGTTCGTTGTCCGCTTCATATATGTCTTTTATAAACACAATCCTATATAGTTATGATATTTTTATCATTGAAGATGTCTATGATACTTTATATTCAAAAGAGAAGATGCAGTATCTCGTTAGGACTAATACTCATGAAGATTACCTTATTGTTGATGGTGGTTGTGCAAGGGGCAAATAAATGTCTATCTTCACAAATAAAATTTGTAATTATTGTAAGACAAATGGACACTTGGTTAAAGTTTTCTATAAGTTGTAAAATAAAGAAAAATTAGCTACAACTAATCAGAATGGAAAGAATTTGATACTCTTGATACTCCAAGTGAAACCAATATTACAAAAACATTTCTCAATGATGGAGAGCTTTTGATTATTACTGACAGCGACTCAAAACGATGATTGGATTCTTGATACGGGTTTGACTTTTCATATGAGTTCCAATCGAGATTCATTTTCAACATATGAAACAGTATCGAAATGTGTTGTGGTGATGTGAAATAATATACCTTATAGGATAGTTGGTATTGAAAGGATCAGAATTAAGTTGTTTGATGGAAGTGTTAGAACACTTGATGCAATGTGATATGTTCTTGATTTGAAAAGAAATTTTATCTCCTTGAGTACTCTTGACTTGAAAGGGTACAAATTCATTGGTGAATGTCGAGTCTTGGAGGTTTGTAAATGTGCTCATATTGTGTTGTAGGGATAGAAAAAGTCTCAATTATATGTCTTGCAAGGTTCTACGGAATCTTTGAAGATCAGTCTGCATAAATTTGGAGCTCAGGTGGATTGTTAGTTTAGTTCAGTATCGTCAGAGTTTTGTTAAGGGTCTACTTTAATGAATACATTTAAGTCACGTTCGAAAGTTATGGATAATTTGGCTTTGCCACCATTATCGGTCGTTTCATTGTATTCGATTGCTAGAAACATACCCATTTGTGATATTTTTCCTCCACATAGGTACAAAAATGCCTATTTAATGTCGTTTGAGCCTCATTTTTGTTCCAAAATGCATTTTGGAATAGTATTTTTGATAGAGAATGTATGATTAAAAAATCAGGAAAAAAAATTGAATTTAGGTATAATATTATTTTATTGAAAATGTGGTTGAAAATAAGAGAGAGAAAAATATATTTTGAAAATAATGAGAATCAAACAAATGCTTAGATGTGTATGCTTTGAATGTGTTGATTCTAGCCAAGATACATTTGTCAAAGCATTTTGTGGTGATTATGTTACAAGTCTTGTTTCAGCTTTATTTGGTGATTATTAATTACATTTGATTTTGTTGCTCGTGATTCGAGCAACTTTGGTGTCCAAAGTAGTTCTTGAAATTTTGTTACTCAGTTTTTTTGAGTTTGAATATATTTTGGGTTTTATGATTGAGGTGAAGAATACTTTCAATTGGAAAATTTTGATGGAGAATTTCTTTTGTGTTTTTTATGAAGAGTTGAAGTTTATTATTTGCAGTAATTTGTCTCCAACTGGAGAATTTTTTAAGTTTACTCATGCAATGAAATTCGTGTCAAGATGGAATTTGTTAAAAGTGGGTGTGGCCCGAATTTTATTTCGAAGATAATTGAGAATTCTAATTAAAGTCGACTTAAGAAGAATTCTTGTGTAATACTATTTTGGAATCTTATTCGATGTCTATTTGACAAATGCCAGTTGAAATTCTATTTGAAAGTCCAATTGAAAGTTTGAAATTTATATTGGATTTGAAGAGATTAAGATATGAACATGGAAACTTTTGGGCAGTACGGGCGCCTCAATACCATTCGAAATCAAATTGATCGAATTCAGTGTCTCAACGCCACACATGCAACTATCCACCGCTACCCCTGCCGCAAGCTAACCTCCCGAGTGACACACGACACTAGCTAGCCACCCATCGGTGCTCGAGAGCCAATTTTATCCGGGGCTAAATCTATTTCGCGTTTTGATGCATTTTGAGCATTTTTATTTCATTTATAATTCTATTTTTATGGCTTAAAACATCCCCATATATATATATATATATCTGCATTTTATTTTTGATTAAGTTAGATAAGTATAAATACAAAATCATAGTATTATTTTTTTATATTTTAGTGAATTCTCTTTTCCTCTTCAAATTATTTTGTTCTTGAGTTTGTGATCAATTACTTTATATCGTGCCATATTTTTCATTTCTCGTCCATTATTACAACAAATCAGTATCACATCAATCTAGTAACCGTTTTATTCCTTACATGGTGGCTAATAAAGAAGAATTCGAAGACAAAGGTATAGGCACTGGCGGACCCAGGGGGTCCTGGGGGCACGTGCCCCCGCCCAACTTTTGAGAAAATTGTTTGTTTTGTTTTTTTGTTTTTTTTAAGTCATGTTTGATATCGATTGAAATCTAAATTTTAATTTAAATCAAAGTTAACAATTAATTTTAATAACATATTTCATGGAATTCATAAATGTTTAACTTTTATCAAACTTTACTAAAAATTTGATTTCAATCTCCACCAAATAGGGGCAAAATCACAATAAATTTGAATTTCGATAACATGCTAATTTTAAAAAAATTATGACGATCGTACGCTAATCGAATTTACAAATTGTTTATATCATCTCAAAACTTATTTCGAAAATTACATTATGGGCACATCGAATAGTCCAAACAGATATAAAAAATAGTTAAAAATGCGTTAAATGTGGGTCTTAAAAAAATGCGTCTAACTCGCATTTAAAAAAAAATCAATTATTTCATTAACATTTATTATTTTTGTGATACAAATTTCTCAATGTAATTTTCATCATTTTATTAGGAAATTTTATATGGAGTATTAACATAAAAAATTTTCGGAATTTTACATCCGAAAAAGTTATATCCTGTGTAAATTTTCGGATGCAAAATTACACGGGGTATGATTTTTTTGGACGTAAATTTTTTATTGTAAAATTTCTCCCAACTTCTTTGCAAGTTTGATTGTGCCCTCCTAATTTCAAAGCTCTGCATCCGCCCCTAGGTATAGGTACTGTAAAAATGTTGGACGGAATATTGTGACAGTTATGGACGGAATATTGTGACAGTTAATAGAGATCGTGCATATCTCAAGATTAAAGTGAAGATAGATATTGCTGGGAATGGGAACCTAAGACATGCTCGAGCCGATATAGTGAATGTGAAGAAAAGTTCTATGACAATAATGAGATTTGAAAATATTCGTAACTCACACATACTTATAGGGAAAATACAGAACTCGGTACCTAAAGGCTAAAACCAGGTGGTCCCAATATGCATAATCGGGCATATATCGTGTCATGGTAAAAACATAAATGTCATACGTAACTTACTATAATCGTGCTAGAAATTGTGTTTTATTTTGTTTAATAATTGTTTGTACAAGTTTCCTGCAATAATGATCGTAGTACACGAAGGAAATAACAAATTTATACGTTAATTTTTTATGGCTCCTTGGACATGATATATGTACGAATTATTCTTGCCGATAATTATAGATTTATAAAAATGTGGTCCCGGCTTTTGAAATAATGGTGTTAAACATTCAAATTGATTTGAAAAAGAAAAATTAGTTGTTTTCCTAGTTTGGAATGCAAGAAATGCGTGGTCCCAACCGGACTTGTGGACTAAAATTTTGGAATAAAACATTGAAGTTGAAGTTACGTACTTGACGTGATTCTTACCATAAATCACTTGCATAGCACCACGACATGCACCAGATAACGTAAGGTGCAATAGTACACATAAGCAATAGAACTGATCTCCTACCTCTAGTGACGATAAAAAAGTGTGACAAGATAACCGTAATTATGGTTCTCACAGTTTCAAAGAACCACAACTAAAGTTTTCTTGTCTCGTCAATAGTTAAAAGTTTTTATCTTATCCATTGGGAGCAAGAGATCAAGACTAAACTTAAAGCTATAGTTAACTTTTAACACGGGATATAACTGGCAAGATTTCCTTTTTGCAAGAAAATAAATAGTTACATAAATAAAATATTCATGCTCTAACTAACAACACACCAAGAAGCAAATGGTTGATTCAAATGTCCAAAACGGGATGTGATCCAAAGACTGGGAAAACGATAAACCATCCTTTACGTTTAGCCCCAACATTGAAACTGCAGTTCGTGGAAAATATTCAAGAGTTGTTTGATATGTCAGCTAGGAAGATACTAATTAAATCAGTGTTACAATAGGGACGACAACAGGGCAGTCCACCATATAACGTTGCGCTTGGTTACTGATACAAATTCTTGGATGGGTCAGATTTCAAACGGGAAGTATCATTGTAACGGCAGCATTCTATCAGCTCCAAATAGAGCGGGATCCTCCTTTTTCTGTGGAGAAGTATACTGTAGGGTGCAGAGAACTTACTCAGGGAGGTATGTTGGGAATGGTGACAGCATTCGAACTTTTCAGGATCCATAGTTACCACGACCAATGTCATTCATTATAGGTGATTACCACTTGCTGTAAGGAGACTACTTTGGTCCAGATCCCATTTTGCTATTTGATAGGGAACTGAGTGGACAAGTTAATCGGGCACTACAGAAAAAAAGGGGGTCTATTCGGATCGGAGCAGTTACCGATTGCTGTTAAATGAAAAACTCAATCCAGAAAAGAGTAGCAATCAGAAAGGATAAGATGGAGCAAAAACGTTTTGTATTATTGATATTTGTTACAGAGGTAAACATATATACAGACATCACATATATCCATGACCATCCTCTTGGGTATCTTTAGGAACTAATATATCAAAATCACTTACAGTCCATTCAGCATTGGTCCCCGAGGGGCTAACGTATATTTCTGTACCAACGTTGATAGAAGACCACACACGCTTTGCAGGTTTTGTTCCTGGATCCTACATAAGAGAACAAGCAAGTGGCTTTATCGATATCACTGTAAGACCAGAGTTGATATCAGATCACAAGTTGCCCAAATATTGTGAGGTAGAGCACATGGATTTAGTTTAGTATAGTTGCCATTACAGAAGGTGCAGTATACAGGTGGCAAAGCAAAGGGGCTATTCTTCTTTAAACTTTGTGGTAGTTTTCCATTAGTTGTGAAATGAGTATGTCTTTCACCTGGTCGAGCCAGCTCAACTGGAGAGCCAAAGTAGTAGGGTCCTCTATTGATTAGTAGTGTACTGACATGACGACATTGTGGTTCAGTAGTCAACATGTATACAAGATTACAGCTGGTCATCACCCTATCTTACAAGTCTTTCTCTATAGTGAACTATGGTTAACTAGCAAAGCTTGTACTGGCATGGAGAACCATAACCAAAGGTTAACTGGTAAAGCTCAAACAACACCATTGTTTGTCCCTAACAAGCTAGGAAATGACCATTCATCATGTCCATAGCTAATTTTTAAGTCAAAATGCAGAAGGAGTACTGATACCTGATAGAAGTATAGCCGACCGGATAGAGTTCCAACGTCAAGCTCCCAAGTCCTTGAATCCCCAATCCATCCGTCTCCCCTTTTTGCAGGATAACCATGCACAGCCCACTCAGGATGAGGCAGAATTTGAACCAATTCTTGTGCTTGTGGGTTGCTATATGGATCACAAATATCAAATGGTTTTTCCAGATAGTTCGCATTTCCAGGAGCACAGTAAAGATGATAAGCAGAATACGGAAACCGAGATGTATCATTTCTGTGTATTATCGTGCCAGTAGAACTGATGTGGTAAGGTGGGCATGACACCAGATTATCTGGACGACACCAGCTTGTAGTTGCCGGGTTAATAATCATCTCACTGTATCTAGTCACGTCTGTTACAACGTCACCATCACATGGGTCCCCATTATTTTTCCAACAACTTCCAATGTCAAGAAGATAAAATTGGCTATTGGACCCTCCACCTTGTTTAACATCAAGTGTCAATTGGACCTTAAAGTTAGGAGACTCTAGTAACTGTCAAAACAAATGTGATGTCACAATCTCTAATATAAATATTTTTATGAAATGGGCCTACGCAGGTTAAAAACAAATGCGGAACATAGAAATGTTGATGTAGTTTGTTGATTGGCCAATAAACTAGGAATTTTAAGAAAGGGAATCAAAAAGTCTATAGAAAAAAGAATCCAACAACATAATTAAAAGAAAAGTCATTTTCATAAGTACTTGATAATTGTGAAATCTATAATATATTAAATATCATATGAAGTGAGAATCATCTTTTGAATTATTATAGCCTTACAGCAATTCAATTATTTCAATAATATATTACTTTTCGTTTTTCAATATGTATTTAATTTACAAACCATACTAAATACTACAAAATCCTTGTTCATACATGTATTCTTTGTTATTAATTCTTAATTAATTAACATTCACATTCATTTAATTAATATTAATTAGAATTTCGCATTCACGTTCATGTCCATGCTATTAATTTTCAATTAATTAACATTAACATTCATTTAATTAATAATAATTAGAATCTCACATTCAATATGTATTTAATTCACAAATTGTCATAAATATTACAAAATCCTTGTTCATGCATGTATTCTCTGTTATTAATTCTCAATTAATTAACATTTTCATTCATTTAATTAATATTAATTACAATTTCACATTTACATTCACATCCATGCATATATTTTCCGTTATTAATTCTCAATTAATTAACATTCGCATTCATTTAATTAATATTAATTAAAATTTCACATTCAAAAATGCAATTTATTATTCACGTCCATGGATGTTAAATAGTGTTTCACTTAATTGGAAATTAAATCATATTTATTTAGTATAAATGATTTAACATTCATTGTCACGCATATATTCCTGGGTATTAATTCTAAATTAATTAATATTCACGATAATTCATGTATCGTATTTGTCATCCATCTTCATTTATGTATTTAGTTGTAATTCTACTATTCACATTCAAGTACACATTTCACTATTTACATGCATGTATAATAATTAACATTTATTTTCAAGAGCTTGTATTTATCTTATGTTTAGATCAAAAGGATAAATTGAGGGTTATATATTACTTTCACAGCACTTATAAAGTATTTCAGTTGCACGTTCAACTTTAACTAGTCCTATCAAAAATAATTAATAACTGCTTGATACTACTATATATGAGCAAATTACAACCAGCAAAAACAAACTACATATCATACCTTTCTTATGATGCCTCGTCCACTATAGTGATAACCTCCATTAAATCCTTTTGTTGCATCTGCTCTTAGATACAACATGAGCCAAGGATACTTGGATGATGTTGTCAATTTTTGCGATACAATCCAACTATTTGTGCTTAAATTCTTCTGCCATGAAACAGAAAAGAAAGAATTATCTCCGGAACCAGCACTCAAATTGGCATCAAGATCATATGTTCCATAGAATCCCCCAACTAAAGACGCATTATCCCCAAAATAAACCACCAGTGACTGATTATGGTACACAAGCGGTTGATTCATGCATCCTTCGCCAAAACAAGGAAAGTTTCTGTCTGTCACTATCTTAGTAACTTTTCGGCCATTCTCAGGGCAAAGTGTTGTGTTCTTGTCAAAGTTTCCATTTTTCAGCATGATCATCCAAAAGTACCATGGTTCGGCAAAATCATGGACCTCACAAAGAGAACCAAGATAAATTTCTTTTTCCACAGCATAAAGATCAGGATCCCTATATGATTTAAACTCGCCAACAGGAAATGCATCGCCAGCCTTCAATCCATTGTCCGATTTGTTCACCTTGTGGTGAACTTCACACTTGCTCCTCTTATCTGATTATCACATCACAATATCAAATTGGACAAGTAATTACATATACGATGACTGTATTCTGAAAGAAAGTTGATTTTAGATTATAGTACAAGGTAAAATGTTCTTTTGCAACTGCAGTCGTCTGGAAACTGCATCACACATTAAGGTATAATGGATTACAAAAATTAAATCAAGGAAAAGAAAATGACGCAGCCTAGATCAGAATACTTATTTCAAGATTGTAGATATGATCAAAATAGCCTGGAATTCATCATCATGGGAAAGAGATCAAATGTTACAATTAACATCTCAAAGGTGCTTTCTTCTCTTTAACTCTAATACCTTTTCCACACCAATCATACGCATGTCATAGACTAAAAGTGCAGCATAAAGGCTGGGTGGAAGGCTGAAAGCTATCAAAATTAGCCCTAAGTTATACTACATATAGCTAGTCCAGTTCAAAATTCAAGTCAATTAAAAACAACTTTGGATAATGAAATCTCTAATACTTAGTTTTAAGATTTTTAATTATTTGAGTGTTGCTATAGACTAATGGCAAAAGGATTCTAAGTCACATACTAAAAACAATATATTTACTCAACATCCAATCATGCTAATCCAGGGTTCATTAACATTCGACCACACCTGAAATCCCACATTGGCTGGCACAAAGCCCTGAAATGGATTTAGGACAAAGTTGTCCAGATCAATGAGTGAAATGGTGTGTGCATGACATAAGTATATGTCACATATGACAGCAAGTCAGATAATCCTAATTTGAACAAGGTAACTAGATACCGGATATGATGCCATAACTAGCTTTTCGTTTTGGTTATAGCACTCTCACCTAACAGAGAACGCAACAGTGATAACTGAATTTAGTCAAAAATATGAATGCAAGCCAGAACGTTAACCACGTCTGATAATCCATCAGCACAATCTATGAACTTCCATCTTTTATAGATAACTCAATAGAACGGTTCATATCTAACTCTCGAGACAACAAACAATCATCAGAAGCAGTCAGAAAGAACCAACACGAAGTGCTAGAAGAAAAGACAACAGAAGTTGAATCATCGAAGTCATCTTTACAATTGCAATAATAGACCTGATTTCTACAAATGCTATGAAGACCAGTCACGATACTGCTATGCACTCAACTGATCATCACTGTTTAACATTTACTCTGCCTCCACCATCAAACAATATGCACTCTATGATTTCAAATAAATGTTTAAACTCCTTCCAAATGGTATCCCCGAAATGTCTTTCTTTTCTCAGAAAAAAAAACATCCCTATTCCTTCCACTTATTGACGACTTCCCTCAGTAAATCTCTAAAGTTACACGGTCTGCTATGTACCTAGTGACCTATTCTTATTGTATTTGTATGAGTGATTAATATCATTGGAAAAATCTAAACCCAAGAAAATGACCAAAGAAAGTAATTCATGAATATGCATACGATAACCTCCTTATTATGGCTTCAAAATTCTAGTAATGTGACCATTAACACCAATTACCCTCGACCAAAACAGTACGCCATTATCTCGGTAATAATGAGCCAAGCTGTATCTTGCAGCATGGTATTGAGCCCTCAAATTTGAAAATTGTTCAAAATCAATCAAATTTGGAAGTAAAACCATGAACTCTGTCGATTTTCAAAGTCAACAGCACACCTTGTCCCCAGTAAGATCTAGTTTTCGTTTTAGAAAAAAAAGTACATAAAACATAAACCTCGTCAATAAATTTGAGACATTTGACCGCTAAAGAAATAATTGAAGAATATTATAAAGGACCTGTGATAAGCGAGCAGTGAAGATCAGCACAATCAGCCATTCTTGGGCTTCCCATTTGGGGTGCTTCGATGCCTACTTCATTGCAGAAATTCCAAGCTTCTAACCCAAATCTGGCATTTGGGTTCTTCATTCCTGGGTCCCCGATTGCAGATACATATGAATTTTGTGTCGATAATTGTATTCCAGAATCTATATGAGCGAGGCGAACAACATGAAGAAAAAACACAATAAATATTGACAAAACCACCCCCATTTTGATCCTCTGTCAAGAAATCGAGTTCTCAACAAGAGCAAGAAATACTAGTACTGATATTCGAAGTTACAGACATCTGGCGGTTGGAGAATTGAAAGATTCTTTCTTCGGAGCTGATAATTTGTGATAGATTTTCTGGAACACCTAGGACTTACTGTAGTGTTTCTTGTTTAGTCATCAGAGAGAGTGACACGTAGGGATGGGCTTAGAGGCAACGTTCGCCCGTGAGTCCATGCCACTTTTTTCTACCAATTCTATTTGGAAGAAGTTTAGATAGTGTTCTCTTTGTGTTTCAGTTTTGTGTTTTGAATTTTGAATTCGTTTTGTATTTTGTGTTTTGAGTGTCTGTTTTGAAATTTTTGAAAATGCGTTCTTTTTGCCGTTCTGAAAAACTGTTTTCGAAAACGTAAAAATGGAAAACGCGTTTATTTTGAAATTTTGAGA